ACGCTGCAATCACAACGCCTAAGGGAAGTGTAAAGTGCAAAGAAAATTTTCAAATGCTTTTTAGAAGCAATTGTGCCATTACTATCCCAGCACTAAGGCTGCAGAGGAAGATGCTCCCTGAGCTGGGAATCAGGGCTGATCATCTCTCCAAGGCTGGGCTTAAGTGGCTGAGTAATGGGCAAAGGATCAAACCGCAATCACGCCTCTCCTTCCCACCGCAGCTCAGCCACTCCGCCATCCCCTTGCCTGTTTTTATTTTGCCGTGCCTCGCTCTCTGATGGGTGAAAGGAACTACTGTGCTCAGCTGCCTGAGGAAAGAGATGAGAGAAGTGTTAAGGAGAGTGGGAAAACCCTGGCACAGGGAGAGGGAGGGTTAAATGATGGAATCTGCAGTGGCCACAAATCCGCCTGGGAGTTAAGATGTTGGTATTTGTACCATCTAAAATTTGAAGAGTTTACATTGATGCCAAGAGACAGATCTAGATGCAACCTGGCTCAGACAACCAAGCATCAGTAGAATGGAGAGAAGAACCTTGTGCAGCAGAGGTCCTACAGCAGCACAGGCTGGAGTTCAGAGGTGTTGCAGGAACAGCAACACGATCAGTGGCAGCTTGAACGCAACAGCAGAAAGGAGGAATCCAAGCTTACACCGATGCAGTGTAATACAATATAGAGAAGCAGTGGAAGTTTCACATAGCCTCCCCTCCCTGCCACAAAATAGTGAAAAGAAAATGTCCAACACGGCACAAATCCGTGACACCGAAGTCAGCACCAAGAAAACAAGAAGAAACTAAGTCTGGCAAAGACAGATGCGAGAATCATTATAACACACCCTCCTGAAACAGAAAACATAATTCCTAAATAGACTGCTTTAATTTTATCCCCAGATCGTCAAACAGGAACAATAAACTCCCTCTTCTCCAATACCGTTTTTACTCAAGCCTTTCAGTACTCACTCAAGGACTAATAAAACGTGAGAACTTAGGAAAGGATGCAACAAGCGTAAGACAACACAATACCTCTGGAAAAATCATTTAATGGAAGAGGCTGCCCAGTAAGTGCACAGGTCCCCCACACTACAGATGACACTGGGGCAAGCAAGCCCTTCCCAGCGTATACGAATGCTGTATATTTAGATGGATTCACCACTGCCACGCCAGCAGACCCACTCGGATGTCGACTTCTGTGGCAAGATCAAACGAGCCTACGCGTGCCAAGTGCACACCACCTACAGTGGCCTATCTCCCCACGGGCCACGCTTCCCTTAACACTTGTTGCTGCTGGGTAGTTAAGTTTATCCCCAAATGGGTTATGCTCAATCTGTAATATGTTAGCCAAAAAGATGAATTATTTTCTCCTATCAAACTCCAGTTAGCTTCCCTCGCAAAGACGCCTGCATGAAGAAAATTCACAGGACTGTTGCCGTTCTGGATGGCAAGACTCCGAGAACTGCTAACAACCCCGCGACTGCTACGCATGAGGGGCACAGGGCAGACCTGCTGCTGCTGCTTCAGCACAGAATGAGGCCGTTACCCCTTTCGCTGCAGAGGAGGGGCATGCTATTTTAGTGCTTCCCACCCCAGGTTCATAGTCTTATTGTGCAGAATGAGAACAAACCGCCTTTCTCAGCAGAAAGCATTTTAAGGCAGTTTTAAGGACGAGAATCATGATGCGTAATTTTACAGTCCACGTTGTTTAGTATCTTAGATGCTAAGACTGTGTCACAGCAGCTTCCAAGATCCGATTTCTAATTTTCTAATTTGAAGGTTTGCTAGAAGTGGTAACTCTTCAGCTGATTTTGTTCTTTTTTTAGGTACTCTACTTTTAGCCATCAGATAAAGGGATTAGTCTTACATCACTATTTAATACCTCTGAAAGAAAACACTACACTAGGAGGACCTCCCTTGGTCTCAGTATCTAGCACTATTTTAAAACACGCTATCCAATTTTCCCCTTGACGGGTATTCAAATTGGTGAAGGTAAGCTATTTTTTTAATATTGTAAGGTTAAAAATAGCTGCTAGAAATTAAATTGACTCAGCTTGAACAGCAGCTGAAGACTACAGGTTCCGATATAAAACGAGAATCAGAATTCATAGCAGGGAAAGCCAGAGTAGGTGTTAATGAGCTGCAAGACTGACAATTATCAAACCACCTATCTGTAAGTCTCAAACAGCAAACACAGCATTACAGAAAATGTTGCTATACCTATCATCATGATGAAAAACTGTCTTCACTCTCTATATTTTTGGAACTGAAAAGTGAATGGATCTAGACATAAAAAAAACCTAAGCAGACATAATGACAAAATAGCTCATAAACCACAATTTTATTGTCAGAACTGCTGTGGGAAGAGATACCCGTATCAAAAGTTGTCTGAGGAACTAAAAGGCACCTATAAATTAGGGAAAAGAAAAAATAATCACACAGAGGAACACAATCTGGCTGCAACTTAAATGATAGTTCACGAATGAGTGGTTGGTAGAAGACAGCACACTGCTGACTTTCCAGTTTGGTCTTAACGAGTTCTAACTCTGCAGAGAACTGAACGGTTTGAGCTAAAAATCTCTCTTCAGGAGTCACATTAAGTACTCTAGCCCCCCTACCCCCCCACCCCGAAGAAGTATCATGCCTCAGCAGTGACGAAAAATGGTCAATAAACTGTCATCAGAAGGGCTGCTCTAAGATACATCCTAGTGTATCACATATAAACCCCCTTGCTTGGTTGAATGCCTGTTTCCCTGGATAAGGCAAGCACAGCAACAGCCCATAAAACCAACGGAGGGACAACAGGATGGATAAGCATTTTTGAGTGACCTGGTGCACTATCCCCAGGTGACAGACTGGTAGAGCAGACGCCTTTCTTGGTATGCACATCCAATGTGGAGATAGCGGGATCGAAGCATCCCTCTATGTAGGAAAGGCATGCAAGAAGCGACCAGGTTTTAAATTGCTATTAGATGCCTTATGAACCTTTCATTTAAGCAATTAATCCTGATACACCAGGCAAAATTTTAATTCAGAGAGTAATAACAGAGGAACTTGGAATTAATTACAATCTCCATCTTCAACAGCCACGCAGGGTAATCTCAGCTTGCGAGACTCCAAAAAGCTGTCCTACTATGGCCTCTACATTTCAGGTACGGGGGAATTTTTGCATGTCAATTTGAAAGTAAGTTTGAAATCCTCAGAGGTCACACACGACGAAGGAATTCACCATTCCCAAAGAAGAGCACGCCTGAAGAAGTAACATCTATGTTCAACCTACTACGCCACATGCCCAAATCCTTAATTCTCTTACACCGTCTCCTGACTCCCCCAGGTTTCACAGTTTCCGTATCACCCTGAATGCAGGAGCTTGCTCTGACAACTTACTTTTAAGTATAAAGGTTTTGGACTTTTACCTTCGCTGCCTTAGGGTCATCCGACTCCTCCTGCATGCTGAGAACATCTGGATGATGAACTAGCAGACCACAGACTCAACTGAAGCCATGACCTGAAGCAGCTGAAGTAGCAGAAAGCAAACTTAAAACAAGAACCAGGGAAGGTTTTGAGCTGATGCTCAACACTTAACTGGAAAAGAAAGTGCCAAAAAAGGGTTCTAGATCACAGAGAAAGTGTTTATCACGGCTGACAGGGCAGACGTAAGTGCAAGGTTGTGCCTGAACTCCAGACAGAAAGATGCTGGAGCAGAAAGGCCACGATGAGTACACAGGTGGCAGAGGCAAATAAAATGTTTTAACAGATCTTTTTTAAGTAAATAAAGAGAATCTTTGCTTTTGATTGTTCTCACAATGGGAAGAAGAAAAAGAAGATGTAAACGTGGGCGATACAGTTGAGCACCCCCCCCCTTCTTTACCAATTACTATCAGTGTTTGAATCGGCTTATTTTGACACTTGAAGAAAGGGCGAATCCCAGCTACACTGTCTGAAGCATCTCTATGAGGAGCATGATGGCCAAGAGCTTTGCTGAAGGAAAGCCATTTATAATGCCACTGCCACACTCTCTATGCTCCCTCTATTCAGTCCCTTCAGATGACGTACTATCAAGAGAGAAGTAAGAAGCACGATAGATTTGAGGAGGAAAACGGAAGACAACTTCTTGAGTTTGGCAGGAGCTGTTGAGATGCTTTCTCACCACCAGAAGAAAAGCCAGTATTTCTTGCAACACTGGCAGCGCCACAGGTGAGAGAAATGCTGGGTATTTTCCTCTAATTTCAAAATAGCCACAGGCTACTACAACCACAAGATGTTGTCCCCTCCTGCTGCTCAAGTTCCCCAAACCAACACAAGTTTTACATGAAACTTGTGTTCACTGCATGAACCTTGCCAGAGGAGCTTGACTGAGTCACTTAAAGTGAAAGAAAATCCCCGAAGAGACTGTACACTGTGCAGCATTTCAACACTGCTATTAACATTAAACACTAACATCTGTCCTTGTATAAAAACTCCCAACAAATCCCATTCCTTTATAGAAGTGAAACACACATGTTGATCTTCGATTATATTTATAGAAGGCCATTTGGTTTCAGTCACCCCACGCAAAAAAATCCAATCCCAACAACAACAAACTTATTAGCCTTACTGTCATCTCAAAGATCTGATGATTAAATCTTACTTGACTCCCTGTTTAGGGAGAGAAAAAAAAAAAGGTAGACAAATGGGGGCAGCAACAGGCTGGACTACACCAAAACCTGTCTCTTGGTTGCTGCTCACACAACGCTATGTCTCGTGCCAGTGAGGTAGCTGATCGTTCCGTTGCTGTGCGCATCGAGGCACCGACCCCCCTGCAACGTGGTATGTGGAGAGCAGGGTGAAGTCACAGCGTTCATCTGAACTACAGGCAGCAAATGACTGCTGTCCCGTGCCTTATGCTGGAGAGGAGAGAGGAAGGGCGTAGTCCGCAGGGGTTCACCCAAACCCTTCCCGTCACCGTAAGGCTAGGGCCTCTGGTGGGGTTCGCTGCTATACAGGCTTTCCATGGACTGCCCGATGCACGTGCAGCACTGTGCTTCATCCACTGGGGCATGGGGGAGCCTGGCAAGCAAAGGGTTGCAGGAGGGAGGCAGACAGGATGGGGAAAGCTTGAAAATTAAAGTTCTAAAATATACAAAATGTAACACACAGCAAAAAGTTTAAAAGTTGCAAGACAGGAAAGGAAAAGAAAGAAATATATGGGGTGAGGAGAGATAACTGGAAGGTGGTGGCAGAAGACTTCAGCTTAGGAAAAGGAGGGGGTCAGGTCTAGTCAGCACTACTCCCTCTGGTAGCCACTCAGTTCCACCTCATCCTTGCGGCGACGGTGCGTGAAGAGGGAGCTGAAGGGGTAGAGCTTGGCTTTGGCCTGGAAGCGCTGCCCAGCAATGTCGATCTCATACTCGCCCTGGTTGATGAAGTCAGTTGTCACCACCAGCTCTTCTCCTGTCTTTTCATCAAAGTGCTGCACGAAGCCGAGGCAGACGTGGCGCTCCAGAGTGTAGCTGTAGGCACTGCTGGTGGTCTTGCCCACGTAGCGGCCGTTGCGGAAAATGGGTTCCCCCCACCAGGGCCAGAGGTCTGTATCTGTGTCATGGTCCTCAAGAATGAACATGGTAAAACGCTTGTACACACCGTTCTGCTTCTGTTCCAACAGTGCTTCCTGGCCAACAAACTGCATTCCCTGTGGAGAAAAGGAAGCATCAGCTGATGAAAGGAACATGAACTGTGGCAGCCGCTGAGTTTCAGCAGGCAAGCTTACTGACACAAGGTGCATTTGTGCGTGGAACCCACGCCCTAGCAAGACAGGCTGCTTCTATAGACAAGAAGCCCAGCTCAGACAAAAGCTTTCCTGTCATGTCTGTTGTTCCAGATGTTAAAAGACGCAAAAATATTTGTGAAATGGGCCTTTAAGAAATTCATCCTAATTTTCACTGTAGTGAAAACATGTCGCACATTCTAGTTTTTGCTGTTTTTCTGGTTCCAGAGGTCTCCCATGTTTTAGAAACCAGACGGAAACTGTAATAACATGGGAAATTTGTGTTCTTGGTTGCTACATTCCCTTCTCTGAACTATTTGACACAAGCATTTGTTTTGGCTCGTGCAAAGATGCGAGAAAGAAGGCAACAAGTGACAGAGATGGCACCTGCCACCACAACAAGCAGGATACAACTCTACACTGTTCTATGTTTTAATAAAAGTAGAGAACTCCCCTGTTTCAGTAAAAATAGAGAACACCTGTTCTTGGTGCCTCTCCTCATATTTAACTTCATTAAATGCCACTTGGCAGACAGGCTGGCTTTTGCTTCATCAGATCGGGAAAACAGCTGGGAGAGACATGAACTCTGCACATCTGTAAGGTAGACAGCACCCTCTCTACACTGAGCATTGCACACATGAGCAACACAGGACGCTACACAGATCTCTGGGAATGCTGCCCAGGAAGAAGGCAGAATAGACTTGATATTTCTAGCATCTTTATGATGTACAAGAATATAGGTTATAGTTCCGCACTGCACACAGCTCCATCAAAACACCGATATATGTACCCACTTTGATGGCAGTCTTTTCAGTTCAGTATTGCTCTCCCACCCACCCCTGCTGCAACAGCAGACCCCCGCTGCAGGAGGTGATTTCAGTTTTCCACTGTACCTTTTCCAGCTTGACCTGGAACTCGCGTCCACACTCCATAGGAGTGGTAAAGGCATCCAGATCCTGGCCCCAGAACGCAAAGAACTTCTCAATGCGCAGGCTGCGGAGAGCATAATAACCAGCGTTCCGAATCCCGTACTTCTGTCCCATGTTCATCACCTCGTTGTACACGTGAAGGGCGTACTGCAAAGGAAGGGTGAAACACAGAGCTGCAGACAAACACCAAGAGAGAGCAACAGCATCTGACGCACCACCATGGATGTTACTGTCCCCTGCCTCCGCAGCACAAGAGGTCTGCCCGACGGGAATGCAATACGAAGCAGGGAAACTCCCCCTCGTGCCTGCAGGCAGCCTTCCCATAGAATCATAAAACGGTTTGGGTTGGAAGGGACCTTAAAGATCATCTAGTGCCAACCCGCCTGCCATTGGCAGGGACACCTTCCGCTAGACCAGGTTGCTCACAGCCCCGTCCAGACTGACTTCGAACATTTCCAGGGATGTGGCATCCACAACTTCTCTGGGCAACCTGTGCCAGGGTTTCACCACCCCATAGAGAAAAGTTTCTTCCTCATGTCTAATGTAAATCTTCCCTCTTACAGGTTGAAACCATCACCCCTTATCCTATCGCAACAGGCCCTGCTAAAAAGTCTGTTCCCTGCTTTCTTAACAGCCCCCTGTAAGTACTCAAAGGCTGCTATAATGTCTCCCCAGAGCCTTCTCTTCTCCAGACTGAAGGGCAGAGGTGCTCCAGTCCTCTGATCATCTTTGTGGCCCTCCTCTGGACTTGGTCCAACAGGTCCATGTCCTTTTTATGCTGGAGGCCCCAGAGCTGGACGCAGCACTGCAGGGGGGTCTCCCCAGAGCGGAGCAGAGGGGCAGAATCCCATCCCTCGCCCTGCTGGGCACGCTGCTTTGGATGCAGCCCAGGAGACGGTTGGCCTTGTGGGCTGCAAGCGCACATTGCTGGGTCATGTTGCGCTTCTCGTTAACAATCACCCCCAAGACTGTCTCCTCCTTGTCTCTCCATGCTACAGACCAGACGTTTCATTAACCTGAGTCAACCTGGAAAGTGTTTCTGATCATGCATGCAAGCAACTCTTAATTAGCTAAGGCTACGGTGTCTTCTTACCTCTATGGGGATATAAAGCATGAATCCAGGTTCTCCTGTGTGAGTGATACTCATCACACGGATGCCATTAGCATAGCCCACGCTCATCTCCTGCAGAATCAGAGGGGGTGAAATCATCCAAACTGGAACACAGCACAGAGATCCACAAGGAGCACAATGCATAAGGCAAACGACACTGGCCAGCCCTCTCCCCTTCCTCACTGCAGTTCACCACGGGCATGTATTTGCGAAGAGTTTAAAAATTCAAATAGTGACACCCCATTATCCAGACTTCTTAAGCACCTCATGACACTTCACAATAAGGCTTGGAACTAGGTCAGGAAAGCCAGGAAAGGCTTGTATTCTAGATACAAGACAGAATTTGAATGGCAGCTATCTGCTCAGCCTTTTAACGTGACAGGAGACAATGACTCCCGAGTCACCACCAATCCCAGCTGTCCCTCTGACAGCTCCGTAATGGATTATATGAAATATGCCAAGATATCAAATGGCACCAAGCCTACAGTGAGTGGAGTATTGAAAACAAATGCATATTCACCTATATATTTAGCAAGCAGAAGGCAAAGCGAAGTAGTGAGCCTAGTGAGTACGTCACCAATCTAGCTCAGCAACTGCAGTAAACCTGTATGTCAATCTAAATTCCCCTCTACGCAAAACATACTTCTTCCCCTCCTCCTACACATGCTTCGAAAAACCTAGCAGTGTGAGGAGGAAGCAAGCACAGTCACTCACCTTGCAAAAGAGAGAGGGAAAGTGTTCTGGAGTTATTGGGACATATGACAACTCTGACAAGACATCCACAGCACGAGGGCCGATCAGATTGAGCGCTAAAGAGGGGAAGACAACAGTATTAGGACAAGACTGGAGAGATCTTGCCCAGTGTCTAAGTTGCATATATGCATGCCCCAACTTCTAAAGTCCTAGTGTTTATTGAACTAATAGGTACATTTACATTTAAGAACGGAGGAAAGAGTCATTAAACTCTCTCTCCTGACAGTCCACAGGAAAGGAAAGCTGTCTCCCAGCTCATGGCTGGCTAGACGGAAGTCTTTGAATTACTGGTTTCATCCAACTGTTTGGAAAGGAGACCCCCGCACCATTCTAGACACCTTAAACAATTAATTGGCATGCAGCGCGAGACACCAGTTGTGATTTCAGACTGTATAAGGAGGTCTGCTTTCAGTGATTTCTTACCCGTGTACTTCCAGGTCACATCTTCCATGGTCAGGTTGCTGTCATCAGGCAAGCGGTTCTTCAGCCAGGCCCAGCAATGGACTTGTTGGTCAGTAGGGGAAATCATGAAGAAACTGGAACAAATTGAAACCAAGAAACAATGAATGGACAGCCACAAGATGACTTGGTTCATTCTTTGTCCACAAACTGCTGGAGCCATTCAGCAGCTTCCAAGCTAACAAGAGACCAAAACAAGCTGGTTTGCGAAAAGCGAGAGCTAAAGTCTCTGGATCAATGTCATCACATCTGTCATGACTAGAAACCCCAGCTTTCCAACGTTAGCAGTAGTCTGGTGACAGGGGAACACAGGCAGTTCTACAGAAAGTTCACAGGGCATCTCAAAAGTCACAATCGTTTTGCAGAAGGTATTCGCAGCTCTTCACCAACAGTGATTCTGTCTACTCTGGCAGTCAGAAGGGCGCTTGGTTCACACAGCAATTTCTTGTTTCAGCAAAAGCCTTTTCACACACAATGGTGGTTATTATTAACAGTTTCCAAAAACAGAACTCCACTTGATACATGAAAATGAGCTACTTGTTGTGTAAGCCTCTCTCATACAAACTGCGAGTTAAAGTGCATTATTGACAGAGACAACATCTGCAGAAATAACTAGGCAAGGAGGAAAGCTACTGGTTTCACACAGAGAAGGACAATACTTTTAAGCAATACATGAATGCAGACAGAAGAGGAAGAGAAAGAAAAGCTGTTTCTAATTGAAAGAGCAGCAAAGAATGCTTTCACACCAGCACAACGAAAGCATGCATAGAAAACGGTCCAGAGAAATAAAACCAACATTCAGCTGGGACATGCCCATGAAGAAGTTTTTAAAAATGAGGGTTTTTTTTAATCACGTGCCGCCAAAGATAGCCCAAACTGTTGAGTCTGAAGATGAGATCCTGTGATCATTTCATTTTGCACCAGACAGCACAAAAAAGAACCATGAGAGACTGCAGAGCTGAGAATTAGAGTACCCATACTGCAATGAAAGTTGAAATAGCCAAGAAGTAGTGTATTCAGCATGCAGTTCCAATGAGGAGATTGGCCAGGAGCCAAGGAGGATCCCTTTGGTTTGCACTTCAAATGATTACCTAAATTAATAAACCCTAATGACTGCTGAAAACAGTTTGTCTCTCAATTGAGAAATTAGACATCTGAAGGCCTAACATTTTGTAGAAATCTGTGTTCATCTGTAGTCGCAGAAAAAGGTGTATTTTCCCCAATTTTAGTAAATTCAGGAGCTCCCTCTCATTTGGTTACTGAATTAGGAACATAAGTGGAGAATCAAGACTCTTCTTTTTTCTTTACAGAGGGGAAAAAAGTCTATGACCTCCATTAAGAGGTTCTTAAAGGCCCTATCCACCACCCTTTGGGTGTTAAAGATGCTGTCTGCATACCTACCTGCGTTTGCTCAGCCGTGCTATGCTGCAGTCATTCTCATAACCTCCCTTCTCATTAAGCATGCCTGTATGCACAACATGCCCAACTGGAACATCCAGGTCATTTGAGAAGAGATACTGCAGACTCTCCAGGGCCTGGTCTCCTGTGGACTACATGAATTGAACGGGAGAGAAAGTCAGGCAAGCTGTCTGAGCAAAACAAACCCCACCAGGGCAGTTTAAGATCGCACCGACGTCCTGGCCCAAATTCTTTCAGTTCGTAACGATAGTGACACCGATGTCTCCAGTGTAACAGGATACAATGGTGGCATAGTGCCAGAGGTCAAATTCTGTTTATAGACTAAGCTCGTATTTCTATAAACTGGGCCTTTGGCAGACAAAAAGCAATCTGTGCTAAACACTGTAGTACAACCTGAATTTGGTCATACAGCTCGACCTCCTCTAGTTATCCTCAACAGGCCACACAGAATTTTGCAAAAGGAGTCAACAATAAACTAACGGCCACCTTTACCAGGCTGATGCTTTGCCACTTCCTAGGTACTTACGCTTATTTCAAACTTGGTAAAAGATGACATGTCAATGACACAAACCGCTTCCTTACAGCACTTGACTTCGGAACCCACAATATCAAACCAGTCTGGTTTGTAAAAGGTTTTGCTCTGATCTAAATCCAGCAGATCTAATGTAAAGAAGAATCAAAGGGACAATCCATAAACTGGATGAACTAAGATCTTAGAGAGACCAACAGGGATGCACTAAGCAGAGGAAAACATGATCTCACCTTTCCCAGGTGGGACAAAATACTTGACTCTCTCAAATCCATGCTTCTCCATCCACCTAGCTCCCTGTGCATCCAGACGGTCATATAATGGTGAAGTACGCAGCTGCCTGCCAGTCTGGAAGTCCCAACGAGGAACTTTCAGATCACACATGAGGGCTGCAATGGTCACAAAGAGCCATTATTAGGCAAAGTGATTATCTTTATCTAAAATTTTTCTTCCAGATTATCAATAAACATACTTACAGGTACCAGAACCATTCATGAAATGCCCTCAAAACAGTTCTAACCTTCCCTTTCTGGTTTTGAAAATTGACAAATTTGTTTTGAGCCATTTATAGCTATCCAAAATCAGAGTGACAATATTTGCACAGATCAATTGTATTTATAAATACTTATGGTCCTATAACAGTACTGTCAAGATAACAAAACCTCTCTATTTTTCATGAAGTCGTGTTGACTAGCATTAATTATGCATTATTCTTCCCTGACAGCGCACTATACCAGACACCTACTGTTTTGACGATACTCATGCTGGGGTAGCTACTAATGCTGTAGCCCACAGCTACAAGGATCGTCTAATTTACCTTCTTAAATATTGGCAGTTCAGCCTTCTCTGATTATTGACGTTTTTCCAAATGGCTCCTACACCTTTTCAGCCAATATAGAATATTCTTATTTAGAAAACAAGTTACCCTAATAAATGTTTAGCATCCTCCCTGGTTACCAGTGGGGAGTAATAACTCAAGGATGCTTGAATACTTCTTTATAAAAGTTACGTTTCCACGTAGGTAATAAACTGCTTAAAAATGAAGATGAGCCAAATACTTCTTACTGAATACTTCTGTTGGTTTTGCCTCATAGCTAATGATTTATAATTGGCATTATCTGGTATTGGTTCTCCTGAAAGAGTGGGTAGAGGGAAGAGTAGATTAGAATGGGAACATAATATCACAGAAATTGAATTTAGTACTTATCTTGGAAAAAATAGAGTGATTCTGTAGTTATCAGAATCAGGATTTGTATTGGAAAGCAACTGCAGAATAATGCCAAGAGTATAAAGTGATTTTTCTGGGAGGAAGGTCAAAGCAGAGCTAAGAGGTTTACCCAAGTTCTCTGCTCTCACCCAAACACATGTTTTTAGTTTAGACTTGGTATTCACAAAATTGTTTGTGTTTTGCAACTTGTGGAGCACTTCATACTTCTATTTGAAACTTGAATAGGAGTTGTCCACGTTATCTCAGGACAGAGAAACAAACAATAGGAGGAAACTAAGTATGGCTTTAGACAGGAACAATGACATCTCAAATCTATTCTGCAAGGTATTTATAGCAAACTTTGACAGGAGAAAGAATATGTCTACGAAGGCTTCCTGAGTGATGTAAGGTAGCTAGATCACACACTCTTAAGTTGGAAGTAATGGTATTTCCACACTGTAATGATATGCAAAGAATAACAATGTTTGAGACAGCGTAATATTCCCAGTTAAGACCTTGGCACTGTTTATCAGGCTGGAGTCCTACAAAGATATGCACCAATTTCCCCATACCAGAGGCAAAGCACAGCAAATAGGAGAGAGCACAGTACCAACAGCATTTCTTTAAGAAAAGTTAAAAAGAATACCCCTAAAACAAACAAAAAAACCCCCATCCTTTCCTTTCTCCTGGGAAGAGTCTGTATTGCCACAAAGGAGGCCAGGAAGAAGGAAAAATGGTTCTCAGGGTGCTGACAGAGGACAGAGAGTGCAGCAAAGAGCAAAGAGAAAAATCTTGGGACATCCTGGCCAGCACTGAATGCGGAGACCTCACTTACGCATTACTTCCATCACACGGTGACGGAGGAAAGTGCGACTGCTCTGAAGGGTACCAAAACGTTTCAAATCCAGAGGCCAGACATTTTCTGATGGATACCCATTTACCATCCACTCTGCCAGGTACCTGATGGAAGAAGTAAAGAAATACTGAGATATCAGCCAATGTCTTAAGGGAGAGAGCCTAGCTTTGAAGTCAGAAGCAAGGTAATTTGGACGTGAGAATTTCTTGCAGTAGGGAGAGAGAAGACAACTAACACCGTACTCTAAATACTAGCAGAATCTGGGAGGTTTCCCTTTATAAAACCCATCCACCAGACTTCCAAATTATTAGTTTCCCATAAGGATGAAACATAAAGGGCAGCAGGAAGTTAAGGACACGTGGTAAATGAAGCCAGAGCCTCGACAGGTAGCCTGGCTGACGCTGTGTCAAGTCCTTGGGCTACGCTACCCAAGGAGGTGCCGAGTACATTTAGGTTGGAGTTAGGAGGCTGACTGCTCTGTCGTTTTTCAGTACCTGGTGTAGGCTCAGCCACAAGCCATCAGTGACAGCATTCATTCCAGCACGAGGTGCCAGCCAAGTTATGCTTAGCTACACTTCTAGCAGTGAAGGAGGAAGGCATGCTCCAGAGCTAAAGCACAAAGGCAGCTCAGACCAAAGCAGAGCAGAAGGATCTGTTCACAGTCAGTAAACAGAAAAACAAGGGGGTTTGAGACTGATCACTGAAAGTTACATTAGCGAGCTAAGGTGCTTATCTTGAGGCTGTAGCAACAAATGGACAAAGAGTGCATTTACCTTCAGAAATTATTTTGATTCTTAGAGAACCTCACTGCAAAGATTCTCTAGATTTTATATAACAAAGAAAAAAATCACAGGTTGCTTCCCTGGTGAGTTAGACAATGGACAGAAACTAGTGGAGACAAATGCAGATACCAACACCTGCCATAAAATATGAGCAGCTTGTTAAGAAGGCTGTATGGCAGAAGGGATGCTGGGTTGCCAAAACCAAACAGCAATCAGAGGGAGTGATCATTCTGAAAGCAACTTTGCTGCCGGGATCACACTTACATGCCCATCGAAGTGTTTGCATTAACACAGGAACTGAATTTGACTGGGAAATGATTCCATCCCTAGCTCACTGTCAGAGGACAGTCTTTAACAGTACTGGCATCACCTATGCGGTGCTTCATGTGCATCAGATTCACTCTGCTTTCAGAGAACCTAACTGCTGTGTCAACTTGAATGATCTAAGGACTTCAATCACATAATAAATGAAAGGGGATCATGGACTACAGAAGACGAGGGAATATACACTTTGCTAAGCTTTTATCTCTTCCTGGTAGATAAAAAAAAAAAAAAATCGGACCTGTTAGCTCTAAGGAAGCTTACTTGGTCACCAGCAGGCTGCTGGTCACTGAGATGCAATGCCTGAGGAGAGGCGACCAGGATAGGAGGAGAGTCCAACACAGATTTAAAATACACGCAGGAGAACCTAATCAGAACATGGTAACTGCTCCTCTCCTTCACTCAAGTTGGAAACGAAAGAGGACTCTTTGTCAGAGAGGAGTTGACAAATACTGAGCAGAACATTCTACGCAGAAGGATCACCTGAGCAGTCTCTTTTCTTGGTGAAAACCTTACTTACACACGTAACAGTGATAAACCACTTACTTGCCTGCTCCCCCACCATATGAGATACCAGCTGAATTCATGCCAGCCAGAACGAAGTAGCCCCGCACGGTGGGCGACTCTCCCATGATGCACCGCATATCTGGTGTGAAGGACTCCGGGCAATTCACTAACTGCATGATCTGCAGAGCCTCCAAATCCGGCATCCTGCGCAGAAGGGCACTCAGAAGTGGCTCTAGGACCCAGGACAAACAAAAAAAGACAAAAAGTCACAGCCTTCACTTCTGACAGATTTCAGCTACTTCACCTTCAAACTGGACAGCACGACAGACCCACACTGTTATCTGAACAGATGGAAACTGCTTCCATGTTTCAATACAGTCACAGGATAAACCATTTACCTGCTAGAATCAAACTACTTGCAATAGATCTCACAGCATACCATAAAAGCAGCCATATTGTTCCGGACCAAGAGCCCAGCATTGTTTTCAACAGTGCAAGAGTGTGTTCAGTTTTGTTAGGGAAAACAAGAGGAATAAACATCAAATAGATATCTAGTGAGGAATAAGAACAGACGAATCTATATGACGCTTGTCCCATGCACTCTGTCAGCCTCCACTTACCATCAGCTCAGAGATTTCCTAATAACCTGGGATGTTTTCCCTATTTAGTAACCCCTGAATAGATCTCTCTTCTAAGTACTTGACCAGTCCTCCCCAAACTCATGACAACATCCTACAGAGGCTGACAAGGAGTTCCACATATTTCATTTTTGTTGTATGAGGAATAACCTCCTTTTGTTTTGAAATTCACACTCAAATAATGTTTTTTGATGCCTCCCAGTTGGCATAATAGAAGAGACAGTGAACAGGAGATCCCCATCTATCCTGTCCATCTCATTCAAGATTTCACAGACCTCTGTTCATTTCCCTTCCATCATCTCTTTTTCCCAGCCCACTCAGACATTCCTCACTTGGAAACTGTTCCAAGCTTTAATCAGCCTCTTGCTGCTCTTCCACCAGGCTTCCTCCAGTCATACAATATCCTCTGGAGACAGGGAGCCTAGAACAACAACTTCTATCTGGCAAACCAAGGATTTAGTGTTGCAGAATGATCATGTTTTCTGCTCCTTTCCTAATAATTCCTAACTTGTCTTTTGCTTTGACTGCTACTGAGCTGATGTCTTCACAGAACCAATCAGTTCAAAGCCCATCATTTTGTATGGTGAAAATAAGACCACCCCCACGCACTTCCATCACTTCACATTTATCCTCACTGAATTTCCTGGTCACTTCATTGCTCAGTCACGCTGGAAAGGTCCTTTGGTAATTCTTCAGAGTCTGACATTTGAGACGTTAATAAAGGGATAAGCCATCTACTTTGTTTTTCTTGTCCAGAAGTTACCTCTGCATAGTGCTTCAGGTAAAAGCCCTCAAGATTCAGCACTCCTAACACTCCTCAGCTTTACACACAAGCAGTAAAATAATCAGATTTCACATTACTTAAGAAGCTGCAAACAGAAACAGTCTTTCTGACCTGCTCTCTTTCTTCCCCCTCTCATGCATTACAATTCCAGAGTGAGAGCCTGTAGTTACAGCCTCTTTTTTCTTATTGATAAAAAGAGGGACCAGTGTTAGATTTGTTCTCATATCCAGCCCAACATTTAAGCCCAACATTAAGTACAGGCTCTTTTAAAATCAAACGGTGTTCCAATGAAAGAGATCAAAGCAGTAATGCAAGAGCTCAAACCACAGGAACTGCAGCCCTAGAAAAGGATCAAATATTGGCTGAGTAAGCTCTGACTTTGCTCAACTGCTCAGTATGTTCGAAGTGATAAAAGGGTAATATGCTGGAACATAGCATGCAGTTGCTTCTGAAACTTGAGAAATTTGTGGGTGCCAGCAAGCAGCACCTTTTCATTTCAGCAGTACCTAGAAAACCAAAAAGGAAGTGCAGAGCTCAAGCAACTCATTAGTGAAGCTAATATCTTCAAGGAAGTCTGCAGGCATCTGTAGATCTAAAAACCTAACATATGCCAGCACAAAACTGCACCCCTACCTGGCTCCACCCCCCGAGTTTAAGCTTTTATGGTATCAATACGGTATCTCACAGAAATGAAAGTAAAAATTAATCAGTTTAACCTGGGGAGTAGCCGGAAGAATATACTACCACTGCAGAAAGAAATCACTGAAAATCCATCCGTGCCTAGAGTCACATACAGAGGCATCCGCATTCAGGAGGAATGCTAAGAGCTCTGACACAAGGGAAAACTGGATCCCTGAAAAAAAGGCAAATTTGAAGATGAGAGGGCACACACAAACTTACCAGGCATAAAAGAGGGGGAAAAAAAAAAGAAAGGGACTC